AGTCAGTGGTTTTATACTCTTCTGATTTACTAGATTATTACAATTATAAATTCAAATTAAGAACTAATGATATTTTTTGTATTTGTGAACCTTTCTTTATAATTAGATGATCTGTAGATAGTTTAGAAATTGACTGATTATTCTGCTTGTTTTTTCTTTAGGAGTTATTTGTAAAATATAAATTTAATAATGTTTAGTTAGTAGTGTGCTTGGAAGGACAAGAATCATTCAGAGCACAAGTAGCCAATTGTGTAGTTTTGTGTTTCACAATAAGTAAATTGAGCACTTTGTGAGAATACTCTGTGATCCAGTGCTGCAATAATTTGGTGGACAAGTATCTTCCTCTAGCACGAGATTGCAGATGCAAGGAGTAGTCATCTATGGTGTCAATGGAGACATCGTGGGAAATATAATTTCCTCTTACATAAGTGCCAAGAGGAGTTCAACCTACCACTGCTTTGCTCTTCTGTTTCTTGGGCTGGGATAAAACATGTGAAGTCAAGTGCATGCAAGTCTTTCTTCGTGAGTGCCAATGGCATTGTTGTTGAATCTTGCAATTTGAAGACATTTTTGTGAGGTAAAAAACTTCTTAAAGTAACAAGGAGCCTACTATCCTCTCATACACATTACATAATGTGAAAAACGATTTCTTCTTCATTTACAGCAAACCATTTGACAGTTTCTTTGTTTGGGGTGATCAGTTTTCTACTGTTCCCAGTTTTTCACTTTGTAGCTTTAGTTATTGTGGAATTGGAAATGGAAGCCATTGGGATGCAGTGTATCCTGCATTGAGGGGATATTGAAAAAAGAGCTTTATTGGCTGGAAAGCTGGACCCCATTATCCAAAAATTTGATGATGATAGCTCTGTACTTAAAGAAAAAGATTCAGTTGATGAAGTGGTTCTGATTAGGAATGCATTACTACACAATCATCACAGGGTATACTGAAGGATGTCATAATCACTTAAAAGACACAACTGAGACAGAGGAAAACACAGGTGGGAAACATCAAGTGATGAAGAGCAGCAAGAGATAAAGTCTAAAGATATTCATTTCTGTTCATTCAAAAGAGCTCTTTTCTTGTGCCAATCAGATGAGTTTGGGATCATCAAGACTAGAACAGGTGCAGAAGACATGTATGACTGATAATTACTGAGTAGCAGTTTTGTTCCCAAATGGTTGGACTGAAAGACCACGGAAAAGACAAGTGTAAGGTTGAAAGAGTGTTGCTGAGTTTCAAGAGAATAACAAGCAATTGATAGAATGAGATTAGCACAGCTTGTCTCACAAGAAGGGTGCAGGTAAAAGATTGAGGGAGGTATGACCTACCTAGTGAGAGAGACATCTGTAAGAAGATTGCACAACTGAAAAATATGGCCGTTATAGTTATGTTTCTGAAGGAGTTGCATATTCACTTCATTCTGTATTGCATTAAAACAGGAGTTGCTCCAGTTTACAGTGAAAGTGAAGCCTGCTGATGCACTGATGGTATTCAAAGAGGGGTTTAGAGAAGAGCAAAGGTTTCATTCTGGCTAAAGAGCAAGAGGTAAGGTTTACCCTGGCTGCCTGAGAAGATTACATGCTGATAATTATCAGATTAGGAATATTTAGAGTGATATAACATATATTTCGTACTTGCAATTTGTGGCATGCTCAGTCATCATTGTCTTTGTTTTGATGATTTATGCTCAGAATTGCATACAAATACTTGTTAAATCTGTTGCAGAAACTAGTCTGGTGTGTGAAAGATAAGTTAGCAGCAGCAGTAGTAGTAGTAGTAGTAGTGTTGGTAGCAGTAGTAGTAGCAGCAGCACAATTGATATGGAACATGAGGGAATATAGACTAATCACTAATTTTATTTCTGCTTTAGACCAGTCATTATCTTATATTTGTAATTGCCTTTTTATTCAACCAATTATGGTATATGAACTTGAACACTTCCACTATTTTATGCATGAGGCACACACAGTCCCTCAAACCTCCTAAAATTTGCGTCTTTATGGCCAAATGCTATTTGGAGGTGAGTCCTTTTGTAAATTTCTTTTAGGTTAACAAATTGAACTCTTTATAAGAATAAATTTTTTTATGATTCTAACTTGAATACTGGTAGTTGTGACTTACCTCTTTAGCCACCTAACCCCCTAAATGTGGTCTCATTGACTCACAAGCTGGGTGTTAAATAACGTGTACCATTTTTTTTAGTTAATCCATAATGGCTACATCTTTCACCTGCTCTCTTTACTTCATTTAACTTAATGATTTGAGTAAGTCTGTTATAAACAATCAGGCTTTCAAATAACTAATTATATATATATATAGTTTATATTGACTCATAAAATATAATAATAGTTTTATATTAACTTAAGAAGTTCTTTTAAAAAATATTAAAGCAAAGCTGATATGTCTGAAGACAATTTTTTGTAAGGAAAAATAAATATTAAAAACAAAATTTTATTTCATCCAGGTTGGCAACTTTTCTATTAGCCGATCTTCTTATTCAACAATTTGTGGAACAACATTGCCAGAACCTATAAGAAGTAGTGGTAAGAGATTAGTATTATTCTTTTACACTCAAGGACTTGCAGCTAATGAGGGATTTCGTGCTGTATATTCTTCTGATGAAGATGCTTGTAAGTGTATTTCAGGAGATTATTTTGTCTTTAGCTTAGAATCCACTAAAAATTCTAATAATACAAGTTAAAGATTTGGATTTTTTTATATAGCAGATATACAAACCTAATTAATCTTGAGCTTGTAAGGGACCTTATAGAGAGATTATTTCTCTCTCTTTTAAACCTTTAAACTTCTCAATTCAGTCATGAATGTATAATATTGAAAATATTTTATTAGTATGTAAGTATTGTTTTTATTACATACATTTGTAATTGTCTTCTTTTTTTCATTCTTAAATACATTCCCCAGTCACACTGACTAATGAAAAATGTATATTAGAAACATTGATGACTGTGTATAATCTTATGAATAGTTAAGTAAACCTGATAAACAGATTTAATTTTATTCAGTTAATGGCCGAAATATTCTTTTGAGTTACGGATTTATTAAAATATGTTGAAGAATTTGAATAATACCTTCATATTTCAGTGATACCCATATATGTACGCTTGTTTTACGGAACTTTTTGTAAACAGGTAAATTGCAAGAAGATGTAGAATATTTGATCTTATAAGAATTTTTATGTACTTAAAAATTGAGTGCTAAAATAATAACAATTTTTATTTTGTTTGTAATACGTGAATTCTCCTTTTTTTTCTCGATCAAAGATTGTGGAGGAGATCTTACTCTACCAGCTGCTACACTTTCCTCACCAGAGTTTGGCCAGGTTAACTATAGCAACCAACTTCAGTGTTGGTGGACCTTAAGACACGATATAAACAGACGTAATAGTACCACAGTAATAAAATTTAATGTTTTTGATCTTCAAGAGAGGAGTCCTCTTGGTTACTGTGTAGACAGAGTATTTTTTTTTTCAGGTGGGTGACTTTTATCTTCTGTGTGCACTAACATTAGGAACTATAGAGAATGTCTAAAAGTTGATTATTGATTCATCTAACCCAAATGATATCATTTCTAAAGATAAGGAAAAATCAACTTTAAAGTTTCAGTTTTACCATAGTCTTGAATAGAAAGACCATGGACATAATCTTAGTAGAAGCTGTAATTTTGTGTACTTTAGTTCATTAATCAGGCCGTATTTGGTTAAATATTATACTTTTAAATAATTTTTTTCAAAGACAAAATTCAACTCTGTATAACTCCGAGAGTATGTTATGGGATGTATGCAGGTTAAAGAGAGTGATATGAAAATACCTTAATTCATTAAATTTGATTAACAAAATATTTGATAAACACAGTTTACATGCATCATCATCACATCTGTAAACAATGTGAGGTCATGGAAACTTCCTTGCAGTAACAGAAACAATGAAAAAGTGTCAAAGGCAAAATATTTGATAAACACAGTTTACATGCATCATCATCACATCTGTAAACAATGTGAGGTCATGGAAACTTCCTTACAGTAAATGTGTGCAGTAATAGAAACAATGAAAAAAGTATCAAAGATATTGAGAAAAGTGTCTCACCTTTCTAGGATGTGGAGAAACAGCAACACAAATGGAAGTTACATTGCTTTTATTTCATATAATTTACTATATGTGCATATATATATATTCATAAACCAATTTATTAAGAAATATCAGATTATTTTGTTGTTCTTTATGACAAGATTAGTTTCAGTGCCTTTATTTACCATGCAGTAGTGTATTTTTTTATTTATTCCATAAGAAGGACATTGGTATAATTTTAATCAACCAGGCATGAAATTCTAAATATTATTTTTTATTTAATGTTTTATATGTGTTTAAAATGGTAAAAGTGCAATTAAAGAAGTTATTTTCTATATTGGAATTAATCTTATTGGGCCTAATATCTTCTCATTAGGTTGTTGGATGAATTTTTTGTTTCTATTAATGATTCTAAGAGCCCAGAGTTGTTGTTGTTTTTTCTAATAGGTAATATGCCAGTGTTTTCTAGACGTGTCATGACACCTAGATATTTCTTGGGTAAATTCTGTGGAAATTATACGAGCCAAGATCTAACAATAACCAATCCACATCCAGTAACAACTGTGATTTTTCAGACAGACTCGACTGTGACATCTCGAGGATTTAATGGCTCTTATTATGAAAAAGGTAAAACTAATAACACAGGCCTGTTTTACTGTCTTGAAATGTTTACATGTTTTACAGTAATTCCTGTATGCCTCATCTGAAATTGATATCCATTTTTCTCCATCACGTACAGATTTTTCACAAAACGTCATAACACAATAGATAAAAGAAAGACCACAACACGTAGTTTTGAGACTAAAAGACATAGACTTCACAAAAAAATCAGGATGAATGAGGATGAATATTCATTTGACATCAATGTTCTTCTCTTTTCTTTAGTTTGTTTGTATTTTTGTTAACAAACATAATAATAAAAAATGTTCATTGTTGTAAACGAAATAATATTTTAAGCTAAGTGAGAGTTTTTTTTCTTCCCGATTTGTAAAAAAATCCTTAGGTGAGAGAAAGAAAATGCGTATTATTTTCAAAATCTGCTTAGCTGAATTATGGAAAATCTGTTATTAAAATCAAAACAACTTTTATGAAGTTTAAAATTCACAGGCCTATGGAAATGAGAATCAGCTCAATGAAAGAGCGATAATTTTTTTTTGATATTTTAGTTATTTCCTTATCTTTCATAAAGTTTAATTTATACTTTTTGTCTGATTTAATAATGTAGCTAGTTGTTTCAAGTACGAAAATATCACATTTTTTCAAAATTGATTAAACATTACTTATTACCAACATTAACTTTTAATGTGCCTCTACTTTAAAATGTATAAAGTATGATAAAGATATAAATACTTCAGAAAAGTTTTAAAGAAATTTTCATTCTTATTATATTAATAAGATTTGTGATGAAAATCACTCACTCTTGTAGTGAAGCTTGTATTGTTTTTCAATTTATGTGTTTAAACATGTAATTATGATTGTATATGATGATATATTTTAAGCAGAGAAACTAAAAACAACATATTAATCTGCCTAATAAATTTTTTGTGAAGTTTTTAAATCTAAAGGTATGATAAGTGTTCAGTAATTTGCTCTTTGAAAGTATCATGCAAGTATATTTATAAATTGTAACATTACATACTGCCAAGTTTAATGTTTTGGCTTCATTATTACATTAACAATTTGGTTAGGATGTAAAAACTAGTTATATATTTTGTAAATTATGTCAATGTCGGTTGAAATAGATATTAACATTAATGTAATAATAAACATTAACTTGTTTACACTTGTTTTTGAGCTTGACAAGGTGCATTTTAAAAAGTAATATTGTCATGTAAAGGCTGTAAAATTTAAATAGTTTGCTTTATAAATTCACCATATTAATGTTTATAGGACTTTTGTGCAAGAAGCCTGAATTATGTGGTTCTATCATAACTTATCAAATATTATCTTAAATAAATACTAAGACAACCAAATGCAATTTTAAAGAATTTTGTTAGAAATGATCCCCTGTTTCTTCTAAAGACATTCTTTTTCGTTGTTTAATTGTAATTCAGAAAATTGACATCGTTTACTTCTTTAGGCAATTGAGTGTTCTGTGTGTTAAGAAATTTTACATATTTAGTAAATATTAGCTTATTTTTATAGACTGTGGAGGTGTTGTTGATACTCCAACTACATTAACTTCTCCTGGATATCCAGGGACTTACCCCGTAAATTATGATTGCCACTGGATTATTAACTTTCGACAACGGTCACAAGTAAAGGCAAGTAATTCATTTTAGTTTTGTGTTTATGTCAGAAGGAAATGGAAGCTAACACATGACTCTAAGCTGTGAAATGCATTTGTTCTATGATAATTTGATGCAATTTGGCCCTTTTTCTGTAATAAAACCAATGTCGTATATTGTAAAACCTGAAATAATTCCATTAAAACAGGAAAAATTATTTAAAATATAACACATTGAATTATAAATGCACAAAAAACAATTACTCTCCATTGCCTGATCTAATTCTGATCACAAAAGAATAGTTTTGAAGTCTATTGTGGAATATGTAAAACAAAGACTCTCATTTAATATCTTTGCTAACAGACACAATAACAGCTTCAATTCTTGTGTGTACCATTATAAAAGTGGTATTTAGAGAACAAGGGAAAAAGTCTTCCTTCCTATCCAATATGTGGTATCCTTAGATGAAATGAAACTGATTGTTACTCTAAATATGTAGAATAATGTGAGATTTGAACAAGATATATATTACAGAATAGTTCTGAATTTTTGTCGAACTGACTGAGTTTGTGAAAAGGAAATTAAGGAATTTGACACAATGTAAGATATGGTAAACAATCTTTGTTATTTAGAACACAAATACTGTGTATTTGCTTTGGATGCTAAACAGTCACTTTTACTGGAACTGCACTCAGCAAAGGTTTCTAATCAGACTGACTGAACCTGATAATGTCAGACTTAACCAGAGCCACTAGTGTTAACAATGTACTTGTTATTCCCATTCAAACATAAGTGAGGTTGTAAACTTGGGGCATCACCTTGATTATCACTGGATGATAGATACTGTTGTCGACCTTCAAGCACAAGGTGCAGCTTTACAACCACACCCTCCAGGAATAGATCAGTTGTTATCTCAAGAAAATGACAAAGAACAAAGGCAGAATGAAAGAAACGTTACAACTATTTTGAATGTGTGTTATTTGAAAATTGTACATCTTAGAATAACTGACAAACTTCAATTATTAAAATAAAAAGGTAGAAAATGCATGGTAAGCTTGCATACCACACTACCAGTTTGCCCCTGAAGAAGAAAGGTCTACCTTTTGAAAGTGCTTGGGTTATAAGTTTTCATTCATTTCTCTCAAGACTTCTTGAACCTACGTGTTTTTCTAACATCATGAATGACACTACCGTATGATTGGTATTTAGAAAACAAAGAATAAAATGTTTACATGAAATCCAATGATTGTGATAAGAAATATTTTTATAATATTGGCTTGTGGAGAAGAAAATAAAAGTTCCACCCGAAACTTATGTTTATGTTTTGAAACACTATTTTAACATTTGTATATAACCAAAATTTTGTGTTTATGTTTTCAAACACTGTTATAACATTTGTATTTACCCAAAAGTTTTGTGTTTATGTTTTGAAACACTATTTTAACATTTGTATTTACCCAAAAGTTTTGTGTTTATGTTTTGAAACACTATTATAACATTTGTATTTACCCAAAAGTTTTGTGTTTATGTTTTGAAACACTATTATAACATTTGTATTTACCCAAAAGTTTTGTGTTTATGTTTTGAAACACTATTATAACATTTGTATTTACCCAAAAGTTTTGTGTTTATGTTTTGAAACACTATTATAACATTTGTATTTACCTGAAATCTTGTGTTTATGTTTTGAAACACTATTATAACATTTGTATTTTGAGAATAAATAATAAAAGGCCCACATAAAGTTTGTGGTTAGGAACATTATTATAACATTGGTATATGAAGAACAAGGAATAACAGGTGCAAGCGAAACCTCATATCTCTGGTCAGAAATACTATTTTAATATCACTAGCTGGAGTACCTGTCCATTGGATGGGGGGAAATAAAAAGTCATTTGTAATAAAGGATAGGAAATTGTGCATGTATTTTTTTTTCTTAAGAAAATAAACATTAAAAATGCAATATAAATACATAAAGGTGCCAATACTGAAAAGAAAGACATACTGTAGTTAAGAATTCTATCAATGTATCGAGTTTGGTGCTGATTGAGCAAGAAATGTGGAAATGTATAAGGAACAGATATACACACATGTTAGATGGGTGGTTCCCCCCTCCCCCCCTCCATAACAGATATACACACATGTTGGTACCAATACTGAAAAGAAAGACATACTGTTTTCAAGAATTCTATCAATATGAAATTAGATGGGTGGTTCCCCCTCCCCCCCTCCATGACAGATATACACACATGTTGGTACCAATACTGAAAAGAAAGACATACTGTCTTCAAGAATTCTATCAAGATGGGTGCCCCTCCATGACAGATATACACACATGTTGGTACCAATACTGAAAAGAAAGACATACTGTCTTCAAGAATTCTATCAAGATGGGTGGTTCTCCATGACAGATATACACACATGTTGGTACCAATACTGAAAAGAAAGACATTCTGTTTTCAAGAATTCTATCAAGATGAGTGCCCCCCCCCCTCCCATGACAGATATACACACATGTTGGTACCAATACTGAAAAGAAAGACATACTGTTTTCAAGAATTCTATCAATATGAAATTAGATGGGTGGTTCCCCCCCCCCTCCGTGACAGATATATACACATACACACAAATTTACATTTATTTATAGAGATGATTAAAAGAACTGCACAAAACACTTTTTTTATTCTGTGGTAATGAATATTGAATGCTGTTATAATGCTTTGACATTTCAGGCCCACATAAAATATTTTGTGAATAACAAGAAATAATGTTGTAATGCTGTGTGATTTAGAGAATGAACTTTGAAATCAAATCCTGTTATTTTGGTAAGGAACAATATGGGTTTGAAGAAATCACATAAGAACAAAAAATCGGATAAAGTGTAAAACAAGAACCTTGATATTTTTAAAAGATAGTTGAGAGTTTTGAATCTTAATTAAATAACTTATGGCTTGCTGAAAAGTGTGTATAACTTAAAATTCCATTTTCTTATAATGCTTTAAACTGTTAATAGTCTTTATATAAAAGTTGCAATGTATTAATGTTACGTGTTTTGATTGATTTATTTCCGTTTTTAAATGCATGCACTGTTGTTTTTTTTATAGCTTTCGTTTACAGAGTTTCAGTTGGAGTCTGACTGTGAAAAGGACTATGTTTTAGTTCGAAATGGTTTACATTTTACATCTCCTGTTATTGGTAAATATTGTGGCTCTAACAAACCCCTAGATGTTGTATCTCAATCACGTTATCTGACAGTTTTGTTTCATTCTGATGGAAATGGAGGAGCTCAAGGTTTTCAAGCATCTGTTGAGCCTTACACTACAGGTGAGCTTTATGTAAAATTATATTTCCGATATGATACATTACCTCTTTTCACCTATATAGCTATTCTCGTTCAGTGCTGCCCTCTATATGATTTTTTTTTTTCCAATAATACAAGCCAAGATTTCCCACATACCCCATGACTAATGTGGTTCAACTGCATCTCGCTTGTAAATCATCATGAAACAACCCTCCACCAGTAGGAGTGTGACACACACACCTAATGCATGTGACTCCCTCTATTCAACTCTTACAAACTATCACTTCTTGTTAGGCAGTGATCTAGTGCAGACGTTTTTTGATGGTGCTCTCTACACGTAGTTTGACTTAATGACATACATTTGTTTGTTCTTTTTCGTTTTAATTCACCATTTACGATGAATTCCAAAGTTCATGTTACCACTTCAGATGTTCTACTGACTGAGGAATTTTCAGCTTTAATTTGTTTGGGAGATTGGTCTTTATATGAGTCAGCCTTCTTTTCCTGATATTTCTTGACTTCCTCATGAGTCTGCCGAACCTGTTCGTAACAAAGAGGATTTTGACAGCCTTTTACCTCCACCTAACTATGCCGTGCCTTCCCAAGCCTCTCCTGCAGAGTCTGCTATGCCTAACTAAGCATTTTTAGATATTGTTTCTCGGGTTTGTCCTGCTTTATCCATTTCCCTGATTTCTTATGATCCTGTTTCTTCTTTATTACATGACACCACATCCTCAGAGTATTTTGTTTTCCCTCCTACTTCTGACATCAGGGTTCATGTTTAGCATTTCGTTTCACAATTAAGAGAGGGTGCTAGCATGCCTCACCCTCCATGGGTCTCGGATAATTTTGTCTTAGCTTACTACCAGGCTGATCAACTGTTCTGAGGTACTCCACTGATCTCCTGAGCAGTTTTTGGGGGGGATATCTTCTCCCTTATTACTTCCATGTTGGCACAGTTGTCCTCTTCAGCTCTATCTCTTCACACGTGGTTCCTTTTTTGTTTGGATTTTCTGTGGAAAAATGATGTCTTGTCCCAGGGTCGTTTACCATCCACTTATCTTCGGGACTTACGGATGGCTCCTTTTCTCCATCAGTCTATTTTGGGGGATATGCCTGAGTCTTTGGAATCACATGGGAATCTGTGAAGCAACATTCGACCATTTCATCTTTGGTTGCTCATTTGTCTCATTCTGAGCCCTTACACTCTGTTGTTCCTGCTCCCTGCCCTGCACCCTCCCATCCTTTACCTTTTTCTACCACTATGGGTTCCATTATTCATCATGTTTCTCAATGTAGGTTTCATTGTCACCAGCTCTACCAGAGACTATCCTGTGGGTTTCAGTATAATTGGTACTCGTTTGGCCGATTTTATTCCCCTATGGTGGGAATTCACTACTAATCTTTAAGTTTTCCAGGTTTTGTCTGAAGGATTTTTCATCTTTTTTCCTTTATCTTGGGATCCTACTACCAGTCAGCATCTATTCAACATGTTGATGACTATTCTATCACGGAGAGCTATTGAGCCTGTCAGCCAACCGTCCCAAGGTTTTTACTCCAGGTTTTTTCTTGGTCCTTGAGAAAACTGAGGACTGGTTCCTGCAATTGATTTATTCTGCCTCAATCACTTTTTGCAGTGGGCTTTTTCTCCAGGACTCTGGATGACCAAGGTAGACATCTCATATGCTTATATCTATATTCTTAGTTCTTATCAGTCACGATGCTATCTTCAGTCTTCAACATTCCTCAGTTAGGCCCAACCTTCTCTTCTTTGACTCCATTTGATGAAGCTTTTAGGTGCTTCACACCTCTGCTGCTTCCTCTCTCACGAGGTTCTATTGCTTTGGGGACCTGTGATTCTATGGAGGCACTTATTCATTTGGGTTGGGCACATATGCGGTCTCTTCAGTGGGCTCTACACAACCAATGGAATCTTGCTCGGGATCCCTTGGATTTTCCCATTACCCTTCCTCCTTCCCTTTTAGATGATCTGCATTGGTGGTTGAACAAAGCTCACATGTCCTTGGGTGTACCACTTCCTCCATCTCATCCAGATTTGCATCTATTCACAGATGCTTCTTTTCACAGTTGGGAGACATGGGTCAATCAGTAGGAGGCTTCCAAACAATGGTACGGTCAAGATGAAATAATAATAAAACAATATATTCATGGCCAATAATGCCCACTGTTAAGTTAGGGTGTTCCACAATATTGCTAATAGGTTTTTCCTCATGATATATTTGCTTCATGAATATGCTCGTTCTGGACCATAGTAAACCATAGACTTACATGGGTAATGCAGAAGGGGATAGGTGCCCATCCCTGCAGGCTCTTTGATTGTATAAATCCGGGCAGTCTGTTTTTCAATATAGGGTTTTATTGGTCACCCATCGCACTGTCTCAGTTTTGGTGTTCCTCCAGACTCTCCACCATGTTTCATCCCCCTTTGTTCTTCTGGTGGAGTGTGGGAGTCCTTGCCACCTTCCAGTTCCTAGCTGCTTGTGTGGTGGACCATGGAAGTATCCTCTTAAATGTCCTCACTGAACATATAGATTAGGGCAGCAGTGTTTTGCGATCCTCCAATCATATGCTCCACCTCAGTGTGGGGAGTCCTAGAGTTTGATGTTGCATACAGCTTCTGTGCAGTTCTATCCAGAGGGTGATGTTGCTTCTATTTTATGGATGCAATTCACTTCCGTGTGGAGGGACCTTGAGGTTGCTATTGTGCTTCAGCTTTTGTGTGGTCCAATCTGAAGAATGATATTGCTTTGGAGTAGCTCTGTCACATTGCAAATCACCCCTTCACTTGGGATCCCTTGTCCTACCATTGCATGGATGTTGGTTCCTAGTGAGGAGTGATTTTGGATTAGGGTTGGACCAATTATTTATTCATTCATACAACCATTGTCTTGAATATAACCTTTCATAACAAAAAAGATCTTAATTTTTCTTTTATCTTCAAGATATGTTGTGAGGAAGCTTCCAACTACCTTCTAGATGTCATCTTCTGGATAACATAAAAAGACCCAAAGATGGACCTGAAGAGGAGTTGAAAGTTTGTAGAATGAAAGTTCTGAAGCTGATTGTCTTATACTTGGTCATGAATTATCCACATTGTGAATCTGAAACAAGATTTAGTCTTTGATAATTTAAACCACACAAAATAGTTAAAAGACAATTTCTGTGTACTATATACTTCTTTTGATGTAGCTCCAACTATTTCACTACATAATACATGGTTCAGCTTCATTTTAGTTATATAATATTGTTTGAGCTTCTCAGTGGCTCAGCAGTAAGTCTGAGGACTTATAATCCTCAAAATCGTGTTTCAATAACTGTGAATGACACAGCACAAATAACCCATTGTGTAGCTTTGTGCATAACTACAAACAAACAAAATGTGATTTGAATTTAACTACTAACTATCATTACTGTCTTGTCTATATTAGTGAAAGTTGTAAAATATACAAAGAAGAAGAAAAAGACTAAATCTGATGTTGACCAGGTTGTAAATTATTTATTGAGGTGAATAGCACTTTACAAGAATAGTGTTACAGATGTTGGACTATCTTTGGAACTGTTCCCTCCATTGTTAGTCTTGCCCATTTTAATAGCCATGATCATTGTTTGAAACAATAATTTCAGTTGTACTGTAAGTGTAAATAAATGGAAAAGAACAGAAAGTCAGTCTTGGACCTCCCATTTTAATTGACATTCCACCTTCATTGTACTTGGATATTGATTTTCAAGACTAAGCAGACTGAGGCTATTGAAACTCCACTAGGAGATATGACAGGTATGTGATGAGGTATATTAGTTGTGATTCCAGTTTCTATAACCATATTTCCCATGAAAGAAGTTGCAAATTTTAGAGGTGTGTGATTAAAAATTTGTAATATTTTTGTTTGTGAACCTCGTTTAACATCAAATTCTGACCAGGTTGGTTACGGAGCTCGACTCGCAATGTGCGGGTCGCGGGTTCGAATCCCCGTCCCACCAAAATGCTCGCTCTTTCAGCCTTGGGGGCATTATATTGTGATGGTCAATCCCACTA